TGTCGGACACTGGCAATACGGATGATATACAGGGCCTACCCATGAAGTTGAAATTAATTGAAAATCGTAATTAATACCCGGAATTAATTAATAATAATAATAATGAAAATTGACTTCATTACAAAACATGGAGGACCAATCTATATAACTATCTATAGCATTGACCCTGTCAAATCACTAGGCCCACAGGGTTGCCATATCATAACCCACGGGCAACCAATTTGTTTGGAATGCCTAATTATATTCTTTTCTATTGATCGATGTATGAAACTTGTCGGATTGACATTAAAACAACGCAAAATAGAACTTAAACTGACGATACCATCGGCTTAGTTTTACTACTACTTAAGTAGAACTTAAGCTATTTATTTTGAGTTGTGGTCATAAAAATCAAATGTTATTTAAGTGATACTCAAAGATAAAATTCCCCTAAGAGGAAGTAGTGCATAAGCCCCAAATTTATCGATGCTTATGTCATCTGCAAATGCTCGTGTACATAGGCTATCTCTCAACTCCCATAAGAGATGATCAACTAACAAGGTCCCGTTGACATACTTGTTAAATAAGATCTCTTGTTATCAGTGGCGGCTCGTGAGCACTAGCGGCAGTGGGGCACACACTGGAAAGGAATCCCGGGATTCGTTTTTCCCTTAGGAAAACAAGTTCTCCGCTTAATGAAAATAAAAAATATATTTCACAACAAATTGAAGACTAACTGCTAGGTACCGCTGCAGTTGTATACTATTTCGATGATCAGATAATTAAAATTTGGAATGGTCCGATTAAGTTTTTTTTCGATGGATAACATGGCTAACGCACACAATCTATCTTGGCACATAGTTTTCCTTAAAAATGTTTTAATACGTTTTAGTGTCGAAAAACATCTTTCACTCTCCACTGTGGTCATGGGAATTGTACACAGGATAGTTAGCAGCTCCACAGATTCCGAAAATGTAATTGTCAAATTGTTCTCAAAAAACATTTGTAATAATGGTACGGCCCCATTGTGTTGCACAAAGTCATCTCGGGTGTAAAGTATGGACAGTTGAATTTTAAGCTGTTTACGTTTGGAAATAAACTACACACAGTTTTAACGTCTTTATTTGGAAAACAACCTCGGTAGTCTTTAAATTTTTCACTATCAAATAAACTTGCAATTGTTAGGTGAGTAGTAAAACTAAAACGTTCATTTACCTGCACTACTATTGTGTCACAAATTTCCTTACATATTCTTAAATTAGGAATGGGGTCCTCCTTTTCAACAAACCGTCTCTTCTTGCTTGTACTTGGACCTGATTGGGTGTTGTCGTTTAAGTTTAGTTTTTGTGGGTCTTGTTGTGATTGCCATTCTTCATGAATTAGCGTGTCTATATTATTTCTAATATTTTGAATAGCTGCTGCAAAATTTGATGTTTATCTTAACCTTGAGAGCATCGAGCTGTCTACTGTGCAGTTGATCAAAAAGTATATCGCAATTTGGCATTATTTTGCTGAAGAAAAATGACCAGAAACTAAAATCTGTCTTTCAAAATTTATCAACCCTTTAGTATGATTAATAGTTTTTTTATCGAATTTTGTGTTCATTTTTTCGAGACATTTAATCAAATCCTGTTTGTAAACATAAATAGTATTGACACACTTCGATGTAAAATTCCATCGTGTAGGAGCATTTTAAAGCATACGAATCTGAAGAAAAGGTGTTTGGCAATTTAAAATCTCCCAGCAAAAAATTTCTCTTTTATATTTTCAAATTAGAAAAAATATTTATATCTCTATTTGATAGTTTGTCAACTAAGCCTGGAAATTCCAACGCATATCTTTTTGAGATGAGCAAAATAGAATTTGGTCATCCTTGCCAACAATTTGCGAAAATGTACACCATTAAATTATTTACAATACTCAGAATTTTTTATACTCTTAAATATGCAAACAGATTTGAAATCCTCGAAAAAGTCAGAGAAAACCAAAAGAAAAATTAAAATTTTGTCCCATTTATAAATATTATTGATTGATTTATATAAAAAAGTTATTTTTCTTGGTAGTTTTATTTCTTAACTATTCCAAAGGTCCAACTAACGTTTTTTCGTAATCACACTAAATAAATTATTATCATGGTCCAACAAACGCGCACCTATCTGGTCTAGGTAATCTGTGCCATGAGTACACACGTCACTATGAGGAAAGGCAGCGCCCTGCTTGTGACGTATAATCCATCGCATGTGTTCATCTCTTGCTAAGCGATATTGCCGTTGTCCGTGTTTTTCGCATCATAATGGGAGAGAAATCAACAGAGGCACACATTTACTGTGCCCACTTTTTCGGAATTCTCGGAATGTCGCTCAACGCCCGGTCGTCCAGTGTCGTGCCAACGCGGTTTGCGCTGAATATTAGATAAAATAATAATAGGCATTGAAGAAAATATAAAATATGTAAGTTATTTTTTTTTTGTTTATTATACTAGGGCACGTGCCCAAGTGCCCTTACGGGCAAACCGCCACTGCTTGTTATATTAAAGAAATTATTATCAACGGTTCTATGCATATATTCCAGTATTGAAATGTACGGCACCATAAGCAGTTTGTCTTATGCCAGATGAGATGCACATGGGGACAGTAAGCAGAGAAAAATAACATACACAATGTCATAATCTTAAGGCTCTGAGTAAGATCCTCAGTCAAGGCAGCTTTTTTTTATATAATTCCTATTTGATCCATTATCAATGGTTTTATGTCATTCAGGTTAGGAAATTTATCTAAGTTTTGTGTCAGTTTCTAATTTGACTTCTTTTGTTAGCTCATAAAAACTAAGCAAAAGTACTTGTACGTATCACTATTGTTAAAAAAAATTGAAGTTCCATATCTTGTATAAATTAATTTCTAATAATGTTCCTTGCTCTAACAATATTTTATATTATAACTATTGACGTTTTTACCCACCCAGCACCCTTATTCACTCCCTTTCCCGTAAAATTGTTTATTCTGTGCACAAGATAGGCAACTTAGGTTTTTTGTTTACATTAGTGATACCACAAGAAGAAAGTAATCCTAATCCAAAAGAGGTCAAACTAGATATTTAACAAGTTTTTTTCATTATATTTATAATTGTAATAAGAAATATATGTGTTACGGAAAATTGCCTTATGGGCTAAATAAATCCATAAAAATTACTTATCGATATTCTTGACGGTCGTATCCAAAGTTATTGATGGGCACTTTGGGATAGGGTTAAGGAAAGAAAAGGGGAAGTACACTATTAATTATAATATCAAAAATACCGAATTAATTGTATAGCCGGTTTTCAATAAACAAATCTTTATCCACCGAGTCTTAATTAGTAACTACGTTTGTACCGAGTGTACAGAAATCACAAAATATGAAAAGCGACGTTGTCACGTCTTAAACTTTATACGAACTCTACTGAACATACCCCTCACCCTGAAAGAAATTTAAATAGGATTTTCAGCACCCAATTGTTAACTTCAAAATAAACAAAAATCTAAATATAACTAAAAAAAATCCAAAACCCGCTAGGAAATGCTAAACCACAAATAATAAACTAAATATACTTAAATAAAAAAAAATTAAATGTTTTTAAATTACTGTGTGGGCAAAGGACAAACCTTTACCACTGGTCTGACTAAGAAACCCTTACTTGTTTTCAAGGTGATGGTACGTACAATACCATCTTTACCTGGATGCACATCTGATACTATCACCAATGGCCAATGCAACGGAGGTACATTATCTTGTTTTAGAACAACTACTGTATTGATCTCTATATTTCTAGATGACTCAATCCATTTTTTTCGTACCTGAAGGGTATTCAAATATTCAAGATGCCATCTTTTCCAAAAATCTTGTACCATCCGATCTATTAATTGAAATCTATCCAATCTATTAATATTAATTTGAGTTACATCTTCTGCGTGCAAACTATTCAATGGAGCCAACGTTAAAAAATGAGCTGGCGTTAAAGCTTGAGGAGCTGACGGATCCGATGATAACTGACATAAGGGCCTAGAATTCAAAAGTCCCTTAACTTGAGTCAGAAGGGTTGAAAACTCTTCGTATGTTAACAATTGATCACCGATGACTCTAAAAATATGTGATTTTGCTGCTTTAACGTTACTCTCCCAAAGCCCGCCCATGTGCGGCGCGTTTCCTGGAATGAACCGCCAAGTAACACCTTGATAGGCTAACTCCGTACCTATAGCATCTTGATATTCATCTGAATTAATTAAAGTATTCAAATCTGACAATACCTTTTTAGCACCGACAAAATTGGTGCCCCGATCAGAGTATAAAACCGAACATGGACCGCGTCGCGATAAAAATCTTTTAAAAGCCTGTAAAAAAAGTCGATAGGGAACTGACCAATTCCAAGTGGACTGATTTAACTGCCATACAGACAAAAAGACACACATATGCCTTATAGACCTGAGCACCCCGTTTCCGCCCAAGTGTTATACTGACAGGACCAAAATAATCAATGCCCGTATGTAGAAACACTTTGGCTTGTTTTACTCTTGCAGATGGTAGATCTGCCATAAGAGGGTGAAGTTCTGAAGGTTTATATCCAAAACACCTATTACAACCTTATTTACCCTAATTTACTTCCTCCTTATTCCTTATACACATCGTCGAGTGTAATTCACTCCTGCTAAATAGCTGGTGGAGAAAATATCCACCAGTGTACACCACATCGCCGACAGGAAGGTATAGTGGGTTTTACACCGGACCAAACGAAAGGTATGGGTGTGGGTTGGTGTAGTTCATTACTACACCCAACTACACCAGTGGGACGAACGAAAGAACCTAGTAACTACGTTTGTACCGAGTGTACAGAAATCACAAAATATGAAAAGCGACGTTGTCACGTCTTAAACTTTATACGAACTCTACTGAACAATATGTCAAGCAATTTTTGTTGGGCTTCCAAGCTTTTTCCATCCGCTTATGGTGATGTATGCCTAGACATAGTGCTTAAAAAACATTACTTACCCTTATTTTGTTGTCTCCCAGTTCTAACAAATTTAAATTTTGCAGATGATTCACATTTTGAATCTTTTGTATCTTATTTGAAGATAGAAACAGTTTTTTTAGGTTTTTTAAATTATCTAAACCTTCTAGTTCTTTTATCCTGTTAAAAGACAAGTCCAGTATCCTAAAAAAATACCTCTCTATCATTTTTATTAACATTAAATTACATTTGTCATAGATTTTATAATAATTGAAAAACAAAATCTTATTAGAAATTTTCAAAGAGATTAAGAGATGCATACACAGATGCATATATTTGTACATTTTTATTTGTAGAATTTTTTACATGTAACACATATTATACTCGCAGCGCCAAAAATATGCAGTGATATCAATTCAAAGCGGACCGTTTCATGTGCAACCGCTGACCAAAAAATATGCAGGGTTCATCCCCCATAAGAATCTACAAAAACTTGCTCCTGTCCTATAATCTAGTCAAAGGAGGTTTCGAGGGTTCAGCCGTTAAGACATATTGATCCCGCGGTTTTATTTCTGCATCTTTTCAGCGCGTCAACTATAGAAGACAGACAGAAGTCGAACAGGCCCTTCTTAGTTCTTCCACTTCATATGCGGAATTTGACAGTTTTGCCGTGGACCGTGGAGCTAACTGAACTGAACATGATGCATTGACATTGTAGTTTAGGTGTTTTAAATGCGCATGTCCACTTTCAGATAAATTGTAAAAACATGACTCTCTTGGTGTTCTGAATAACTCTGCATTTCTTGTTGAGTATTCAATGTAAACTTGAATTTGGTAGAGATCTGTGAATGTTACGTTTAGTATATAGCGATGTTTTATAAATGTTACAGGGAAACGTTATTTTAATTTTTTTAACTTATATTTATAGGTTTGCATTAATTCTTGTAGAAGTCCGGCGGCGTTTTTTTTTTTCTTAAATTATCGCTGCCTGCTTAAGGGTTCCTTCCATTTTTCAGGGTGGAATTGTGGACTGTAATATATGAAGAATCTTGTTGATCGGTTGATAGATTGTTATAGAATGTAGAAATTAAAATGATTGCTTCTGTTAACTGGTTTATTTTAAATTTATAAACTTTGTATTCAATAACCACATACCATTTGATTGATACTTTTATATGTAATCTTTCTATATTTGTTTTAATGTTACAATTGCGACCGGTTCGCGCGGAGATTGATTTTGTCTAGCTTGTTTGGAGGTTCGAATGATCTGTCTGGTTTAAAAAATGTCTGGTCACGTCTAGTTAAGAATGTGTCCCTGTGATTGGTTTAAAGAAATAGTGTGGTTTGAGTAAATACTGTGAAGATCACTTCAATGTACCTATGTCACTACATTAAACACTACTTTTTTTATAAGGTAACATATATAATTATAAATATGATATACTTATTTATTTAATTTATAAATTTATTATATATTAGTAAACCGCTATAAAAACAAAGTATAGAATAAAACCCAACACAACTGATATAAATATTGAGATTGGAGCGAACTATTCTGAAATCGCTCCCTTTCTCTCTTTTTCTTAAATGAGAAAAAACGATGGAAGCGATTTTCTGAATGCAGAACTTGAAGGGAACGGATGAACATCTCTTAGAAACAACCTTACACCATTGCCAAATATCCATATAATAGGAACGTAGCGCTTTAAACTTTAAATACATGATTATATTTGCCAATTTTAACTACCTAGAAAACAATTTGGCAGGGCGTTCTTTTGTCATATATTTTAAATATTTTTTATTATTTATAAATATATTTTATTTTCAGAGGAGAATTCTCGATTAACAAAGAATTTATATAAAGCCATGATGTAAATTTATTAGATAAAACATTTAATTTATCAATCAATTCATCTACTGATAAGGCATTCATTCAAAAATTAGATGTCCTAAAATTGATCGTTTGATCACCTAGACTAGATCAACACTTTCTAGTTCAGTTTCACAATCACCAACTTTGACATAGATCTGTCTGCTATTTATATAAGATGACAATCACGACAAAAAGTTACCTTAAAACCAAGCCCTTCCAATTTTTGAAAAGCAACATCTAAGTTGATTAAATCAAATGCCTTTAATACATCAAATTGATCTAAAATTAAAAAATATTTTTTATCCATTTCTAAAATTTTCATTGCCCTCAAAATCCTCGATTCCAACTTATCTTAACATACCCCATATATCAATCGCAGTCTCAAAACCACTTTAAATGTCAGGCTTTATTAAACGCTGCACTAAGAATTTTTTAGATGTATCATCCATTAAAATGTTTTGCTCACTTGTGAGGCCCCATTTAGTTAGATTAATGTTCATGTGTCTGGTCCCCCCACTACAATGTTCATATTCAAGCCATTGAAAGAGTTCAACATAAATTTTTTAAGATTTATTTCATTTAAGGAACACCGTGGAGCTGAGGATATTAATTACTCAAATATTGAGAGTTCCCTTAATATTGCAACTCTTCAGATCAGACGCATGCACTAGGATCTTACCACATTCTACAATCTACTGTACTCATATAGCTTTAGTCCAGAGCAGAGCTGTCAACTAATTGAATTAAAAGAGTTGAAAATGTAATTAAATTACTTTTCAGTAATTGAATTACCTTAATTCAATTAGGTTTCTGAAACCTTAGAATTAATTAATAATTCGATTACTTTCTAGAAAGTAATTGTAATTGGTAATTACTTTAAAGATATTTGAGTAATTGAATTATTTTTTAAACAATTCAATACCTTTATAGTAATTCAAGTACTTTGTAGTAATTCAATTCATTTATTGTATATTTCAAGTACCACAAAGTATTCAATTCCCATTTAAAAATGGTAGAAAACCGTAGTGCGTTACTGCTTTCTGTTTATTTATAGTTGACTTTTATGAATATTTAAAGGCCTATATTTATTATGCAGTTTTCATTAATTTTGACGTAACTTATTTATTTTTGAATATATGTGTATGCGGATTGAATTATTCAATTCATAATCAACTCCTGAAGTGCGTAAAGTTATTAAATTTATTAAAAAAAATATATGCTTTTTTATTTAAATAATTGAAGTTTATAGTTAGAACAGAAGTAAAAGTTGGATAGGCTTTTGCTAGTTCTCCCACTTTATACACATAAATTGACAGGTTTGCAGCAGATCTCAACGAAGTGGACGCGATACATTGGCGTACAAAATTATTTTATAGATGTTAATAACAATTTCGAGTAAATAGTTTAATAAATTGCGAATAGCTGTTGAAATTTTGTAAAATTATGATTTGAATATTATAATACATGTTTAATAATTATTTATAGTCCATAAATACATGCGATTGTCCGGTTCCGCCGATAACAATTTAAAATTACTTATTCTATGAAACGACACTGGCAGGTAAACTACTGCGAAATTCTCGAAGCCGTCCGACGTGGTTTGACGTTTGACCTACCAAAAGCCTTTCCAACTTTTACTTTCCCTATAAGCCAGAACAGCTTTTCTCATCTTTAAAGGTTGTGTTAGATAAACTGGATTAATATAAAACATTACGATGAAATTAATATTATGATTTCTAGATGTAAAATTAAAAAGTGCATTCAATTCTTTCGTCAGCTAGCGCTTTCTAGCAGAAATTATGGGAGACTTGCTGGTAGAATTGTCCCAGCGTGCATTTCTGTGAATCATTTGTAAAGCGGCGTATGGTGAAATAATGATTTCACATAGAGAAATAAGTTATTAAAAACATACGAGTTTAAATTACTAGGATTATTTCACCAAACGTTTTAAAATACATACACCAAAATCAAGTATCCTTGCATACAAGGTATCCTATTATAAAGTAACACTTTGTAGCAACTTTATAATTATTCTAGATTAAAAAGATATCGACGTGCGGTTTTCACTGCACTTTTTGAGTTTTCTGAAGTCTTTGTGGACGTTATTGGACATTGTTTATTTTTGGATCATTCTGAAGCAGCACCAAAGGAAAACTTATATGGAAAACACACTTCAAGAAGAGACCAACTAAACAAAATTAGATGATTTCTTTGAACTAGAAGATTCACCAGCTGCAACCACGAAACTTAGCAGTAATAAGAAAAAAGTTGAATACCTTAATAATCCAAAACACAGAAATTACTGCTCTAAACAATTACTGTCATGAAAAAATTCAACACTTACCTTCCTTCATCAGCTTCTGTAGAAAGGTTGTTCTCTTTTACAGAAATCATTAATGCTCCAAGGAGACATGCTGTATCTGATCTTCATTTCGAACAACTGATACTTATAAAGGCAAACTCCATTAAATATGTAAAATATGTTTTTTTTTTAAATAATTGATTAAGAAATTTCGCTGTTGTAAACCATCATTGTTTTTGTAATATTATAATATATTATTCTTAAAATTAACATAGACTTTTATCAAACTGATTGATGAAAAATTTTTAATTATATTTCGGTAATTTAATAACGCATCGGTAATTCAATTAAATGGAATAATTCAATTACTTTAAAGGTATTTGACGCAGATAAAGTAATTGAATTACTAGCAAAACCAATTGAATTATTATAATTGGACATTTTCAATTCTTTTTATGAGTAATTGATAATTACAAGCACTTTTGAAAACTAAAGTAATTAGTAATTTGCATAGTTTTTTTGGTTGCCTAGTAATTGGTACTTCAACTACTTTGCAATGGTAATTGTGACAGCTCTGGTCCAGAGCTATTAGGAAAAATCAATATTCATGTTCCTTCTAGACAAACAAGGCTTATTCAGCCTTTCAATATTAGACAACAGACATAATTCTTTTCTATCAAGGTCGGGTAGATTTGCTAATCAGTATTCTGATAGGTTGGACTGCTTTGATAATGAAAGTCTTAAATTCCAGCTTAAATTATATATGTGATATTTTGATGCTTCTAGATAAATAATTTAAGATAATTTAATTTAACTTATTTACAATTGTTACCTTGTTTTTTTTTAAATATTTTATTTTTTCTTTTTATGTTAATTTTACGGTAATTTTTATTTATTTATTTCAACATTTCTCTAAGTGAAGGTTAGGTTTTAAATTTTTCATTTTATTAAACTTGTATTTTAATTGGGCTGTTGCTAGAAATAAATAAAATGTATGTTCAACAGCATCTCTGATGACTCAAATTTACTTTTTCCTTAATTTAAAAATTAGTAAATAACACTGGAGGAAACTGTATAACAATTTCATGTAAGTAAAGACCTCTCTTTATTATCGAGGAACCATCTTATGTAATCATTGTGTTAGAATAACTCTAGGCAATATAGAAAACTTAAAAAAATTAAAATTCATGGTATTTCGGTTTCTTACAGGTAAGGCCTTCTATTCTGTAGAAATTTTATAATTTCAAAATGTGTTTACCTATGTCTAATTTTAATTATTTTATATATTTTAATTTTTGTATAATATTTTAAGTATAAAATCTCTATATAATTTTAAACATGTGAGAACTGGAAAATATGAATGTTTTGTGTGGATGTGTAGGATGGTACCATGTGAAAGTTATTGTTTGAAAATCTGACTTTTTTTTTAAGCATGTAAAATGTAAATAGAAAAATACTTGGTAAATGTTTAGTTTGAGCTATTGCTATTATAAACAAACAATCTAAGTTCTATACCTTGTGAAAATTATTGACAAATAATTGTTCAAATAAAAATATGTCGTTTTTTCAATATTACAAATTTTATGGGAAAGGAAGTGAATAGGAGTGCTGAGTGGGTAAAACAACGTCAATAGTTATATTATAAAATATTGTTAGGGCAAGGAAAATAATTAGAAATGAATTGCTGTATTTTTGATAATAAATAATTGGATAGTAAACTTTCTGTGTGACTTGGTAACTGTGTAAGATATAAAAGTAGCATCTCTGAGCTTTGACTTAAAACAAATATGTGAAATATTTTTATTTTAAAAAATTGTGTCATTATTAATTTGTAATAATAGTGATACCTATAAGTCTGTATGCTTAATTTTTTCATGAGCGAAAAGAGCTTAAACTAGACAATGGCCAAATATTTTATTGACGAATAAATTCTATTCAAAGTCCAATTGTCAGATCAAGTCAGAGAAGCAATGGTGAGGACATGCACATTTTAACCAGCCTAAACTGCAAGATTATCTGGTATTTGTTTTATTGTATAAAACGACACTGGCAAACAAACATTACCATAAAATTCTCGAAGTCATGCAAATGGGTTCGACATTTACCCCTACCAAAGGCCTGTTCAATTTCTATCTCTACATGAACTTTATAATTATATACCTACTCTAAATTAACCAAACTTTCAAGATTTTCAATTTTGGTTATTTGATTATCATACAGCTCAAGTTCTACTAGAGTTGTTAAAGTATCCAAATTCTCAATCTTGGTAATCAAATTCCATCTTAAAAATAGCCTTTCTATGCAGGTCAAAGATTCAAGATTCTGCAGTTTATTAATACGACCATGATTGAGATCCAACTCTAAACATTCTGGATCTATTACTACTATGTCATTCACAGTAGGACCTCTATCTTCTGAAGTGGATGGATCTGAAGTCTCTCCTGCAGCGCATGCTAAAATTAATTAAATCCGATACATATGTATAAGAAAAGTCGCTTAGTTTGTTGATATATTGTTTATAATATACCTTGGTTTGGTTCTTGTTCAGTAACTCTTTGTTCTACACTTGGGACAGGCATAATGCTGTTTATATTCTTAATTCAGTTGTGTAATTTGATTGCACCTCTCTCAGTTTATTTATTCGAATGTATGAAAAGATAACATTTTCATTAAAATGTTTAGAATATTACTTTTTTTATGATTCACACCTTATGCTCTTGACCTTGACCCCTCTTGACTCTTAAGTCTTACCATGCTCTTACCACAGAACAATAGGTATTTTCCTTTGCATCGAAAGCACAGAACACTTACTCTTAGAACGGTAACTCCCATGTTAAAAAAGGATGATAGAGTTTTTAGCGGCACCTGGTGGACGTGGTTGATTTTTTTTCAATTAAGTCCTTGTCTGGTAAGAGGCCATATGAAAGAAGAGAAAATAATAAAAAGAAGAAGAGAAGAAAAGCGCGGGGCTATTCAAATTTGACAGTAAAAATTATCCGCATTAAAAACTGTTAGCCAAATTAAGATTTGTTCACACAAATTGCATTTTTGCTTTATTATAGCGAATATCGCTATAATAAAGCAAAAATGCAGTTTGTGTGAACAAATCTTAATTTGGCTAACAGTTTTTAGATAAAAAAAACAAGAATATTCAAAAAATAAATTTATTAAAGAATATATATAATACAAATCCAATATTTAAAAAATGTAATGTATATGAAAATTGTATTATGTAAGAAGTAGCTGGATGGCTGCTACATATTGCAGGATACAACACTGTCCATAATTTTGTGAAGAACTTTAGCTGTGAAAAAAGAAAGACAGTATAAGTACAATCTCATTAAAATAAATGTATTAATAAAAAATTATAAGCCCGAGGAATACTTTATTTTTTAATAAGTCCAACATCTACGATACAGCTTTGCAACCCCAAACGTCATGAAACACAAATTTCACAGTATATGCAGCGTTTGAGAATCCACATCGGATGCAACCGAGATGTAGTAAATCTTTGATCACGTGATTCAATTTACGTAAATGTAATGGGACAGATGTGTCCGATTTAAAATAAACTATTTGAGGCGCTGTTCTCCACATCTCGGCAAATGGACTAAAATAATAATTTATAATACTCTTAATATTACCTTATTTTAATTATTGTGCCACTATACTGTATTTGCTCAACCAGAATGAGTTGCAATGATTGCAAAAGTTGCAGAATAGAGGTCTGAGGACAATACTGAGCTGTTCGAGATTGGAACCAATCAATTCCATGTTGAATGTGCTTCAGTGGTTGACTGTTAAAAAATATTTGCTATTCTATTCCCTGCTTTTTATATTTAAAATTAAATCAGGAATCTCCAGAGTATATTTACAAAATATTTTAAGTTATAATCAGGATGTTCATGAACCTAAACAGGTAACAAGAAAAATGTACACAAAATTCAGTGTTTTTTAAAGGTGTACAGGCTTTTAATAATTTGCCTGAGGATATTAAATGTTCTTCAAATGTGGCAATATTTAAAATAAAACTGCATGAATACCTGTTCACCTATTGACGTTTTTTTTCTCTTTCTTGTTCTTTTATTGTTTTGTATAGTTGACATGTAAGTGTACTGTATCTTATGTATTTTTTATTGCATTTTAAATGTATGTTGATTCTATATTTATGTATTTTTTATATTTTAAACGTGAAGATGTATTGACATGTAAAAAATAGTTTTTTTGACTAAATAAACGTTTTATATATAGGTATGTGGATAAAAAAACGCTCGAGATGTAAAAAATGCATCTGATGTGGATTCTCAAACACAGCAATAAGTATAAAATAAATAAGTACTAACTTTCCTTCTCGAAAAGAAGTCCAACATATATTATTAGTCTGCTTCTTCTTCGAACCTTTACTTGAAGTAGAAGGTGTTTGATCAACATATTCAATTTCTATGTTATTTGAGGAAAGTCCATCCGCTACTCTTCCAGGAACTGCGGGTAGGAATAGCGTTGGAAATGCTTCAGGTGTTAGACCTCGACGAGAGCCAACTACTTTATACTTCTCTTCAAAATGTTTATGACATACTACAAAGGTGGAATAAATTTGTAGTCTTGTTTTATTATTAAATCTTGGACAACGAACAGCAAGTGCACAAATATCAAATAAATCGGGTGAATTCGTAGGGCGAGGCAGGCGATGCATCTTGTTGTCCACAACAAGGCAATTCGGTACACATTTTCTATAATTACGCATCTTTATGAAAAACCACAAAATAACAGCGGAAAAAGCACAAATTTATAATGGAAAAACAAGCTTATTAACAGTGGTCAACTAAATCAATTAAGCAAATTGGAAATGAAAACAACTGAATACAACAGTCACCAATATAAATAAACAAAGTTTACGTTTGGTCCGTGCGTTTGGTTTAAGCCAAGACGCCATGACACCCCCACAAAAATCAATATTCACCTGTCATTTACACTCCCACCACCTACCCCACCACCCGACTGCAGCGCCACGCGGACGTGGTTGATTGATCCCAGGCCTGCGCATACCAGTTTCCCACCCCTGATCGAAAGTTTAGCACTGGGCTACACCAATTCTGAAAATATCGTTCCATAGGCGAGTTCGGTCAGTCAGGGGCTGGAGCGGGACAAATTTTAGGGTGCTTTTAAATGACATTTAAGCGTGTTAAACCAATGAACTGGAGTGGGGTAGAATGCTTGTCAATAGGCTTGAGATGCGACTCTATGGGCGAAGACAGGTTATTTTTCATCTCACTCGGGAGTATTTATAACGACCATTTTCTATTTCACTTTGTTATTATCTGATCCACCAGCCTGTGGATTGAACAATAACAATGTGAAACAGAAAATGGTTATTATAAATACTCCCGAGTGAGATGAGAAATAAAAATGGCTGCGCCCACAGAGTCGCATCTTGTTCAATTGATAAAATATGCACATTAGCTTTCTACCCCACTCCAGTTCATTGTGTTAAACTGTCACTAATCGGACTAAACCGAACGCTAAAAGAGTCGTTTGGAGTTAAAAGTGTTAAAGGAGTTAAAGGAACGTGGCAAACCGAACGCAATGATTATATACAAATTGTATGGATGGAACGATATTTTCAGAAGTGACGTAGCTCAGTGCTATAGAGAAAGTAAAAGTTGAAAAGTCTTTTGGAAGGTAGAGGGGGGGGGGGGTAAACGTCAAACCACGTCGGGCGGCTCCGAGAATTTCACAGTAATGTTTCATAGAATAAGTAATTTTAAATTGTTATCGGCGGAACCGGACAATCGCATGTATTTATGGATTATAAATAATTATTAAACATGTATTATAATATTCAAATTATAATTTTACAAAATTTCAACAGCTATTCACAATTTATTAAACTATTTACTCGAAATTATTATTAACATCTATAAAATAATTTTGTACGCCAATGTATCGCGTCCACTTCGGTGAGATCCGCTGCCAACCTGTCAATTTATGTGTATAAAGTGGGAGAACTGGCAAAAGCATTTCCAACTTTTACTTCTGTTCTACACTTTCGATGCAAAGGAAAAGACCTAATTACTCTTACTATGTGCGTTCGGTCTGCCAAGTTCCTTTAACTCCTTTAACACTTTTAACTCCAAACAGTTTAACACGCATGTCATTTAAAATTTAAAAGCACCCTAAAATTTGTCCCGCTCCAGCCCCTGACTATCCGAACTCGCCTATAATAGGGTTGCCAGATAAAAATTCATACAATTTGTATAAATGGAACAATATTTTCAGAAGTTGTGTAGCTCAGTGCTACCCCGTGCTACACTTTCGATGCAAAGGAAAAGACTGGAAAAGACCATTGGCCGTGTTCATCGTCGTCAAACATGTTTTAAAAGCAAAGAAACATGTTTCATAAGCGGTTGGAATGACGCTGAACGATCATTTTTGGGTAATGTTGTAGTTGACGGGTCTAGAAATGCGCATATTCACACCACTCTGCACTGACGTCTAGAATTTGAATTTGCTCAAGCCACGTTGCCAAATCTCCACTTTCATTTTAGCTTGCTTTATTTCATAGTTTATTATTTAGACAAATTGTAACTTCTGTAAATTAAAATGTATGATAAATAAATATAAAGATTTATATTATATTTTGAAATAACAATTCTGTTTTGTTTTACAAGACAGTTTTGATAGATTTTAAATTTAAATTTTGTAATTATCACTATTGAAAGGTATTATTGACATTAAAAATAACGGTCGTATTACTTGAAAATCTTTAGAATTTTTTTATTTTTATGGGATTTTTAATCGATGTAAAAATTGGTAAATAGATGATTAAAAGTAAAAGTTATTTCAATCTGCTTATTCGCTGGTTCCAAATAATTAAATATAACCTGGCAACTATGTAACGATTCCAACTGACAGAACTAGCCGGAACAGCAATGGTGCGGACTGGCACATTTCCAGACCCTTCAACTACAACCATTGCGTTCGGTCTGCCAAGTTCCTTTAACTCCTTTAACACTTTTAACTCCAAACGACCCTTTTAGCGTTCGGTTTAGTCCGCTTAGTGACAGTTTAACACGCTTAAATGTCATTTAAAAGCACCCTAAAATTTGTCCCGCTCCAGCCCCTGACTGACCGAACTCGCCTTGTGTATCCGAACTCGCCTAACATTACCCATTTTTGTTTACGATTTGTTTTCTCAACCCACATACTTCTAATAATATACCAAATAAGGTCGTTTGCGCAGGTTTACTGCGCTAGGAATAAAAGAAGATAGAAAATCGACGCCATTTTGGACTACTTGTACCACGTGATCTACGATTTGACATCTGTTTCCTAAAGGTTGAAATTTGTTATAAAGCATTACAGTCAATAATAGAATTTGATTGGCCGCCATAACTGTGTTATGTCAAAATTATTACTGAGGACCAATAATAGCACACGACACTTAAACAGAAAAACTATTAATACGTGGGCTTAATTACTGACATTTGTGATGTGTTTTATGCAACCAACAAGAACTTCAGGTCCGGCATTTTGCAATTCTCTTGTGATTGTGCTATTATTGTTATATTGGTTGTTTAAAGCGTTTTTCTAAGTTTTTATGGATTTAAGTGTTTTTTTGGACTTGTTTTAGTTACTTATATGGTATATTGTGAAAGGTGTTAATACGGCTGACATTTAAAGACCCATACACCACAAGTAGTTATATAAGTTATAGTTTATTTTCTGAAAATATTTTGTTTAGTGTAAAATGAGTTGTATAGTGAATAATTGTAAAAACATTAAGAGATTTACAACATC